CTCCTCCCTTGACCTTCCCAAGTGCTGGGATTACAGGCATGAGCCACCGCAGCTGGCCAGATTCTACTATTAACATCTAACTATTCTTGCTTTTTCTTATATCCATCCATCCCTCTATCCTTCCATCAGTCTATCTTATTTTTTTATACATTTCAGAGTAAAGTGCAGACATTGATACAGTTCTAAATATTTTAGCATGCACATTATTTACTAGTGTTTAATATATGTTTTGAGGGTTTTTTGTTGTTGTTGTTTGTTTTGAGACAGAGTGTGTCTCTGTCACCCAGCCTGGAGTGTAGTGGTACGATCTCAGCTCCCTGCAACCTCCGCCTCCCGGGTTCGAGCAATTCTCGTACCTCAGCCACCCAGATAGCTGGGATTACAGGCATGCGCCACTATGCCAGGCTAATTTTTCTTTGTATTTTTAGTAGAGATGGGGTTTCACCATGTTGGCCGGGCTGGTCTCAAACTCCTGACCTCAAGTGATCCACCGACCTCAAGTGATCCACCCACCTCAGCCTACCAAAGTGCTGGGATTACAGGTGTGAGTCACCATGCCCAGCTTTTGAGTGTTTTTCTTTAAATGTAAGACTCACACACAGTAAGAAAATGTGAATCTCAAAGGTGTATTTGCTGAGCTTTGACAAATGTATGCACCTAGGTAACCTCAAGTGACTTTTTAAAATCGTGTTAAAATATACATAAATAACATTTACCATTTTAATCATTTTTAAGTGGACAGGACAGTTCAGTGGCTTTAAGTACATTCACATTGTTATGCAACTATTTTCATATCCAAGGCCAGGCGCAGTAGCTCATGGCTGTAATCCCAGCACTTTGGGAGGCCGGGGTGGGCGGATCACCTGAGGTTAGGAGTTCGAAATCAGCCATGGTTAACGTGGTGAAACCCCGTTTCTACTAAAAATAGAAAAATTAGCTGGGTGTGGTGGCACGCACCTGTAATCCCAGCTACTGGGGAGGCTGAGGCAGGAGAATCGCCTGAATCCAGGAGGCGGAGGTTGCAGTGAGCCGAGATCATGCCATTGCACTCCAGGTTGGGCAACAAGAGCAAAACTCCGTCTCAAAAAAAAAAAAAAATTATCATATCCATTTGCAGAACGTTTTTATCATTCTATACTGAAACCCCATACCCATTACATAATGACTCCCCATTCTCTTTCCTTCCACTCCAAACAGCCTCTGATAACCAGTACTCCACTTCTTATTGCTACTATTTTAGCTACCTCACATATGTGGAATAATGCAATATTTGTCCTTTTGTGTCTGCCTTATTTCACTTAGCATAATGTTTTCAAGGCACATCTATGTTGTAGCATATGTCAGAATTTCATTCCTTTTTAAGGCTGAATAATGTACTCAGTTGATTTATTTTTTATTTATTTATTTTTTAGAGAGAGAGTCTCACTCTGTCACCCAGGCTGAAGTGCGGTGGCACAATCACAGCTCATTGCAGCCTTGAACTTGTCGGCTCAAGTGATCCTCTTGCCTTAGCCTCCTGAGTAACTAGGACTACAGGCATGTGTCACTGTAACAGGCTGATTTTTGACTAATTTTTAAGTTGTTGGTGCTTTTGTGTATTTTCATGATACATCTGAATGTGTGTCTCATGTGATACAGATCTGAATATATCTGAAGGTAACTGAGTATTGAGGGATGGCTGAGTATTACCGCAATAGCTTCTTATAATAATGGTCTGCTTACTAATGCCAGATACCCTTTCTGGTGTTCAATTATAACTTTAAAATTGGGAGAGGGTTAGGAGATACACAGTAATGGAAGAACACCAAATTGAAGGCAGGAGTTAGGAGTCTTCAGGTAGCCTCACTGATTTGCTGAATGTCTTTGAGGAAGATCACTTAACGTTTGCCTTTCTAAGGGTCCTTCTGGCTCAAAAGTTGCATGAATATATGATTTGCCTTTTGAATATGCTGGCAGACAAAATGTAGATAATTTAGTAAATTCCATAGACTTTCTATTTTAAACAAAGAGCTACTTAATTGGAAACCTATGTGACAAGAGTCTCAAATCCACAAGGACAGTGTGGTCTGTAGATATATGACTGATGAGCCCTGTTTGGTTGCTTTTCTGAAGGAAAAAGACTGCTTGTCTTCAAGGGGCTGGTGCTACTTGGGACCAGAAACCTAGTGTTGTTTACACTTGCAGTTTATCAAAATAAACCAGAAAAAACTGAGTATTTATGGGAAATCTTGTGATTTCTTAATGTCAACTAATGCAACTAAAAAAATAGTACTTTTCATGCCAAAGAAAACACATCTTTGGACCAAATTCAGTCTGCCAGCTGACAGTTTGTGACCTTTGCTAGTTAAGGAAGAAGTTTTTGCCTCTTCTCATAAATATAGAAGGTTTTATATTTATGAGAAGGTTTTATATTTATGAGAAGGTTTTGTATTTTTATATTGGTTTTACTACTGAGCATGAAATTTGTTTTAAAGCTACATATTCTGTATTTCAGGGTAGGTGTATTTTTTATGTCTTGATGCTGTTTTGTAAAAACCAGTATGTTATGCCTTTTTAAAGAAAACCCATAATCAGCCTATTTTTTATTTTTAAAATTATTGGTCAGTCTGTTTTTTTCTTCCTCAAACAGAAATCGCATGAAAGATATACTGTAGAAAATCCTTGTATCAATTAACACATTTTGAAATATATAGAATAATTAACACTGGACAATCAAGGAAAGATGAGTTTCATAGGAAAATACTTCATTGAAGACCAGTATGCAGATCTGTGTGCATATGAGACACATTTTTATAATGCTGTTACTTGGACACTCACTACTAATGAGCAGCAAGATGGTATGGAATCTTTGTAGCAAGCTTGCTATGAAAGGTCTAGCATATGCTGGCTTTGTACGGTCACTGAAGGCAATTTCTGTGTAGTTTTGATCACTGGTTAATTTTATAACCTTGAGTATGATAGGACATGTTAAGTTCTAGAAACCCAACATATGAGTTTCTCCCACTTTTTGTTAAGTTTTGTTTTGTTTTGAAATGGGTCTCACTCTGTTACCCAGGCTGGAGTGCAATGGCTATTCACAGGCACCAGCATTGCATGCTATAGCCTTGAACTCCTGGGCTCAAGTGATCCTCTTGCCTCATCCTTCTGAGTAGCTGGAACTACAGGTGCAGGACATTGCACCTGGCTTCCACCATTTTTGTTTTGATTTTTCCTTTTAACATTTTTATTTTAAAAAAATTAAAAAAAAATTTTTTTTGAAACAGGGTCTGGCTCTGTTACCCAGGCTGGAGTACAGTGGCATGATCTCGGCTCACTGCAACCTCTGCCTCCTGGGCTTAAACTGCCCTCCCACTTCAGCCTCCCAAGTAGTTGGTACTACAGGTGCACACCACCACGGCTGGCTAATTTTTGTATTTTTTGTAGAGATGGGGTTTCACCATATTGCCTAGGCTGCTCTTGAACTCCTGAGCTCAAGTGATCTGCCTGCCTCAGCCTCCCAAAGTGCTGGGATTACAGGCGTGAGCCACTGTGCCCTGCCTCTAAACATTTTATTTTAGTTTAATTAATTTATTTGTTGAGCCAGAGTCTGGTCTGTCACCCAGGCTGGAGTACAGTGGCATGATCTTGGCTTATTACAGCCTCTACTTCCTGGGCTCAAGCAATCCTTCCACCTCAGCCTCCTGAGTTGTTGCGATTACAGGTGTGTGCCACCATGCCTAGCTAATTTTTTATTTTTACTTTTTGTAGAGATGGAGTCTCCCTATGTTGCCCAGGTTGGTCTTAAACTCCTGTACTCAAGCAGTCCTCCTGCCTCATCCTCCCAAAGTGCTGGGATTATAGATGTGAGCCTCTGTGCCTGGCCAAAATTTTTATTAGTGATATTTCAAACATGTATAACACAGAGAATAATGTAAGTTCACCTACTTTTAATCATTACCCAAATAATTATTTGTTTTTTTATATCTCCATCTCTTCTCCATCCTCTCGATTATTTTGAAGTAAATTCTAGATGACATATTTCATTTGCAAATGTCTCACTGTGTATCTCTAAAACATAAGAATGCTTAACAACAACCAAAAAAACCTCCTAAAAACATTGATTTCTTAATATCATCAAGCATTTGCATTATGTTGGTATTTCCATTTCCCAAATTGTCTTATAAATTAAAAAACTTTTTTTTTTTACTTTGTTTAAATTAGAATCCAAATAAGGATGTATATTGTGATTCATTGTTATATCTGTTAGGTCTTTTAAGATTGAGATTCCCTGTGCTTGCCTCAGCAGCACATATAATAAAATTGGAATGATACAGAGATTAGCATGGCCCCTTAAAAAAAGAAGAATCCTCTTCATAGCTTCATTAAAAATTATTTTTCAGCAACTGTGGAATGTTTCTTCTGTCATTTCCTACAGTCTGCATTTATGTGGTGGTAGCGAACATGTTCCTTTGTTCGTTGTATTTTCTGTAAATCAATGATTAGTTGTAGAGCAGTGGCTCTCAACAGGGGTGATTTTGCTCTCCAGGGGATATTTGGCAATGTCTGGAGACATTTTTGCTAGTCACATTGATCACAACTTGGGGATGCTATTGGCCTCTAGTGGGTAGAGGCCAGAGTTGCTGCTAAACATGCTACAAAGCACAGGAAACCTGCACAGCAAAGAATTATCCAACTTAAAATGTCAACAGTACTGAGGTTGAGAAACTGATCCAGAGACTTGATCAGATTCAGGTTTAATTATATTTTGCCTGGTTCTCTCTCTTTTCATGATGTTAGGAGCTATTGATTATTGCCCAGTTTCATTAATTTGCTAGGGACTTACAAAAGGGTAATATTGTAATTCTCCCTTCCTTCCTTATCTGAAGTACCTCTATAAAAAGAAACTACCCTTTATCAATTAATTGGTTACCCTGAGCTACAGTTCATATAGTAAAGGCAGATTAAATGCCTGATGCTTTCCCTTTCTTCACCAGCCAATGACATTTTATATTTTATTCCAGGTTGATCTCCTATCAAGAGTTCTTGGCATTTGAATCTGTTTTATGTGCTCCAGATTCCATGTTCATAGTGGCTTTCCAGTTGTTTGACAAGAGTGGAAATGGAGAGGTGACATTTGGTAAGGGAAAAAGAAGATTGTAAGTGATAAGTTAATGATGCTGGTCCAGTCTTCAATTGCTAAATCTAGTAACTAAACATAGATTACTGCTTATTTAGGACCTGATCCACAATTGAGTTTCCTAAAAGGATTTATGCAGATAAAGATGGCTTTATTTTTTCAAAGCATTAAACTGTTGCCAAAGATGAGGAAGTGTAGGAATGCTGTTGCTTTAGCTCATTGAGTCACTGACACTTTCACATTCCTAAAATAAATGGTGTAAGATTTTCTTGTTCTGGGCCAGCCTGGGCAAAATTCCTTATGAGGTAGATTTTGAACAACTTGAAACAATTTTCTCACTCTTTAAGTGATTTTTAGATAGGGAGTTCAGAGCTTCTCTTGTAGCATCCTTGGAAAATTGCTGCTATGTCATTGTAACACCAATAATGGAACTGAAGGAGTATATCAAGGCAAAATTAATGTTCTCTGAACTTGAATTTTAGATTTCAGTTTTAGGAAAGAGGCTGGAATATTAAAATTGCCATCTGACTTGGATGTAGAAATTTATTTAAATCCTCTAGTAGACGCATAATCTAACACATTGTTGATGTTTCACAGGTGTATACACTAGGATTTTTATTTGTAACCATATATTAAAGACACTTTTTTACAGAAATTAGTATATGTTTAGTAAAAGTATTGGCTAATTTTTCTTGGAACAATTTTTTAAATAAAAACCATGTAGTAGTTCAAGGACCTTGAGTACTGTCCCCACCTTTTAAAAATATTTGAATTGTTTTTATTGTGGCAAAAAACACATAAGATAAAATTTACTGTCTTAACCATTTTAAATGTGCAGTTTAGTAGTATTAAGTATATTCACATTGTTGTGAAAGAGATCTCCAGAAATTTTTCATCTTGCAAAATTAAACTGAAGCCTCCTTTTATAGTGTGAATTGGCATGGATATTTGTAGAAACACCTTTGAAAAATCAGACTTTCCCCGAGCTATGGCACTAAACACTTATTCAATCAGAAGGACCGGTAGTGCCTTGACTATAATTTTGGTGGACACATTTTCTAGCTTGGCATTGATTGTTTCCTTCTTCCTTCTGCCCATTGACTCAACTATCTTCTGTATGAGAAGACTTTCCAAAAAAATGCTATGCAGAGTTTTTGTTTTGTTTTGTTTTTGTTTGTTTGTTTGTTTGTTTTGAGACAGAGTCTTGCTCTGTCGCCCAGGCTGGATTGCAGTGGCTCGAACTTGGCTCACTGCAACCTCTGCCTCCCGGGTTCAAGTGATTCTCCTGCCTCAGCCTCCCGAGTGGCTGGGATTACAGGCATGCGCCACCATGCCCAGCTAATTTTTGCATTCTTAGTAGAGATGGGGTTTTACCATGTGGGCCAGGCTAGTCTCGAACTCTTGACCTCATGATCCGCCTGTCTCGGCCTACCAAAGTGCTGGGATTACAGTCCTGAGCCACCGCGCCTGGCCCACTATGCAAAGTTATTTTGATTTTTGCATATAAATCTTGGCATCCTCCTCCTTTGGAGCAAGCCGTGGCCATCTTGCCTCCTGAAGAATGTTGACTTTCCTTAGAAACACCTAGGTTCTGTAGTTTAAGGCACAAAACCTCCATCATCTCATTCAGCATTAACCATGTACTACTAGTAATGCTGCATTTTCTATTTTCAGTAGGTATCACACATGCTCACATATCTCACAAATGTGATGCAGAAATGCCTGGAAAATAACTTGATTCAGATGTCTAAGTTAGTGACAGTACCCTGTGCTTATATCCTGTGTGCATTGAGAATTAGATCTCACAATCAAATTCTAATTTTTGTCCCTCTACCTTAATATCATGGTTCTTTGTGTCTCCTCCATTTAATTACTTTTCCTAGTTTCTATTATTATAAAATTAGTAACTCAAGTCACTTCATCCAACAGACTGTCAAGACCAACTTAATAATAAAGACACATGCCATTGTTGATAAATAGATTAAAATGAGTATAGGAAGTAGCTAAGTTTATATATGCCTTATTTAATGTAAATGAAAGCTTGTAGTTATTAGATCTCAACTTTAGGTTTTTTTTTTTTTTGGCGGTGGAGCCTCGCTCTGTCACCCAGGCTGGAGTGCAGTGGCGCGATCTTGGCTCACTGTAACCTCTGCCTCCTGGGTTCAAGCGATTCTCCTGCTTCAGCTTCCCAAGTACCTGGGATTACAGGTGCCCGTCACCATGCCTGGCTAGTTTTTGTATTTTTAGTAGAGATGGGGCTTCGCCCATGTTGGTCAGGCTGGCCTGTCTCAAACTCCTGACCTCAGGTGATCTACCCACCTCGGTCTCCCAAAGTGCTGAAATTACAGATGTGAGCCACTGTGCCCAGCCAACTTTAGCTTTTTATAGGTCTTCTGTTTTTCTTTCAGACTATTATTTATGAGTTAGAATTTTTAGAAATATAGTTAGGATTAAACACAAATCAGTTTTAGTTTTTATAGTACCAGGTATAAACTGAAGAACATATGAGCCCTCAAGAATCTTGCTTTCATTCTTTTCCTCCATAATCTAGAGACAGGAATATTATTATGGAATAAGAAAAAGATGAAGCCAGGTACAGTGGTGCATACCTGTAGTCTCAGCTCCCAAAGGAGTGATTTCAGCTCCTTGGGAGACTGAAATGGGAGGATCTCTTGAGCCCGGAGTTTGAGGCCAGCTTGCACAACATAGTGATACCCAGTCTCTAAAAATTAAAAAAAAAAATTTTAAAGTTGTACCCTGTTTCTGTTCTGGGTTGCCTGGCTAGCTGGTTGGCTCTCTTGATGGTGCTCACCTATTTCCTAAGGACTTTGACCATTTCACCTTCTGTCCCTGCCTTCCTAGTTTTAAGGATCCACTTTGAGACAAATTTTCTTAAGTAGAATGAGAGAAATAATAAAAGAAAGTTTCCTTTCGTATATTTAAGAAGAAAAATATTGAAATCTTGTTAAATGCCATTTAACAAGATTTCTAGGGACTGCTTATTTCAAGCCATATTCAAGACTACAGAATTTCTGCATAAGGAAATAATTAACTTGGAGTTTATTTTTATAGGATTTTGGATCTGGGGTGAAGGTCAGTTTTCATGTTTGTACCCACTTAATAAAATGAATTGTGCTTATGTATTTATAGGCACATGTTTAGGTAAAAGGAAATTTTAGATCAATTCTAAATAGAGTTAAATCCTTTTCCACCAAATGGCCTTCTGTTTTCTAGTTTGGAGCTATTTATAGTTTTCTCTTGTGCACATGAGAGAAAGTTGGAAGATGATATTAGATGCAAGGTGTAAGGAAGAGGAGAAAACCTGTTACGCCATCAGCATCTCTTATAGACTATGATGATAATGTTATCTCTGTACTTCCTATATATTCTCATTTATGCTTTTTTTAGATATGATTTTATACACATCAAATTATATACTTAAACTGTGTGCATCTTTGCAAGTATTTATATAAGTAGTAATATTGAACATTTACTTGAGTGCTTATATGAGGTTTTTTGTTGTTAAAGAT